GCCCTGAGAGGTTCATTTTATGGGTCTTTCAGGCACAATCCTTGTATGAGCCTATGTCCCCCTCAGAGCCCCAGCTGCCCTGGGTCTGCTCAATTCACGCTGTGCTGTGCCCACTGCGGTTTGGCCTTCCCAGAAGCATCTGCTGTCTGATCTGCCTGAGCCCTTGGGCCTCCCCCAAGAATGTGAACTGTTTGAAGTCAAGGATTCAGCATTTGTTCACTCAGCAGATGTTGATTAAGCACCTACTCAGATCAGGCACTGTTTAAAGCACTGTGGGTACAGCAATAAACAACATAGATCAAGCCCTTGCCTCCTTGGAATTTATTATGTTCAAGTTGGAAAAGAAGTCAACAAATGAACAAGACCGCTGGTGGTCTTTAATATATAAGTAGCAGGGAATGGGGTTGAGGGACTGTGGCTGGATGGGACTGCTATTATGGGATGGGGAGTGATGCCTCTCTATTAAGATGCACAGACACAGATACCTGAAGGAAAGGAGGGAGGGAGTCATGTGGATCTGAGGGAAGAACAGTCCAGCCAGAAGGGACAGCAAGTGCAAAGGCCCTGAGGCAGGAGTGTGCTTAGAGTGTGTGAGGAACATCATGGGAGCCAGTGGGGCTTGAGTGCTGTCAGAATAGGAGGCAAGGATGGGAGAGGAAGTCAGAAAACTAGTGGGTGATGTTGGGGACAGGGGTGGGGAGGAGCTACAACAATAGGGCCTTGTTGGTCGCCATTAGGACAGGCTTTTACCTGAGTGGAACAAAGGAGTGATGTCATCCGCTCAGGTTGTGAAAGGCTCCCTCGAGCTGCTGAGTGCAGAATAGATGGTAGAGCGGGTTTCTGAGGAAGCTGGGACCAGCGAGGGGCCTTCTGCAGGAATCCAAGTGAAAGATGCCGATGGCTGGGATCAGGGTAGGAGTGGGGAGAAGTGGTCGGATTCTGATATATTTCAAAGATGAAACAACAGGAGTTGTTGCTGGATTGGGGTGTGGGATATGAGAGTATGAGAAGAGTCAGGATAGAGCCAGGGTCTTTGACATAGGGCACGGGGTGGGACCGTGGAATTGCCGTTTACCAACATGGGAGAGGTTGGGAGGAGAAGAGGGGATTGCGTTTCAGACACATTAGGTCGGAAGTGCATCACAGACCACCGAATGGTAGTGTGGAGCGAGGGGGGAGATGTGCAAGTTGGATTTTAAGAAACAGATCGGGGCAGGAGGTTTAAGTGTAAAAGTCACCCGCAAGTAGGTATTTTATTTCTATTTGTTTCTCAAGTTCCCACCCAGAACAGGGCATGATACAGAGCTGGGGATGCTATGACGATGAGGGCATCAGAAGTCATCACTTCTATTTCATGAGCTCTGTGCTGAGGGGCTGAGGGGCATTATCTTGTTCAACTTCCTATGAGCCCGTGAGGCCGGCACGATTGCGACCCTGGTTTCCAGATGAGGAAACGGAGATTCAGAGAGAGTGTCAGTCATCCAGCCTCTGAGGGCTGCAGGGACTGTTTGCCCATGTGTTTATGGGACCATCAAAACCATGGCCCCGGGGCCCCGGGCCCCAGCTGCCTGACCAGACCCAGCACTGACCCCTGTGCGTCCTTCCCTCCCTCTGCTGCAGCCTGTGACCAGCTGGCGCTGGGCGTGGTGGCGATCTTCGGGCCATCACAGGGCTCCTGCACCAACGCCGTCCAGTCCATCTGCAATGCCCTGGAGGTGCCCCACATCCAGCTGCGCTGGAAGCACCACCCGCTGGACAACAAGGACACCTTCTACGTGAACCTCTACCCTGACTACGCCTCTCTCAGCCACGCCATCCTTGACCTGGTTCAGTACCTCAAGTGGCGGTCGGCCACCGTGGTCTATGATGACAGTACAGGTGGGTGGCCAGGCCTGACCAGGCTGGGGTTAGGGTGCAAGGGGGGCAGAACCCCGGGATCGGGCTCCTCACTGCTCGCCCAACTCGGCTGCCCCTGGGGAAAGGGTCCTCTCTCACCCTCCAGCTTCACTCAGTCACATCGATGCTCGTCTCTGCTCACTCAGCCCTGTGCACACCCACCACACACCCACTCACCCAGCCCCAGCCCACCTCGCATCTGCCTCACACCTTCCCACCCGCCCGCCTCCACCCAGCAGCATGCTCACATCCGCACTCAGCACACTCGCCCCGCTCCTAGCACCTGCACCCACTCCTGCCCAGCCGCGCCCACACCTGCCTGCTTTCTTACACTCACACGTTTCCCTCTGTGCAGGCGTTGAACTCAAACCCTCCAGTGCACGTGCACCGGCTCTGATGCTTACTAGCTGGGCAGCGCGGGCCTGTTTCCTCTCCTCTTTCCTTTCAAAGACTCAAGTCCCAAATGTTTCTTAGTCCCACCTCTTAAGAGAGAGTGACCTTGGCAAGTCACTTAACCCATCTGGCCACGCTCTCCACACATCAGGCAAGAGCTGCGGTATCCGGTCCAGAAAGAGCCCTCCAGCTCTCAGCAGCCTGTGATTCAGTGTCAGCTCGATTACCTCCACATGCGCAGTGGGGATCAGACACTCAGGAAAGACATTCCGAAGTTGTTGATTTTGCTCGGGATTCGACCACCATCTATTGAGGTCCTGCCATACCCAAAGCACCAGGCAGAGGATCCTGGAGGGCAGGGACCCCCACCCCTCTCAGGGTCTCCCACACTAGTTCCCTGCCATTGAGGGGCGCTCCTACCCAACTCCAAGTCACCCCCAGTGTTTGTGCAGCCTGTAGGCTTATCTGTCTGTACACACCACCGTGAATGGTTGTCTTTGAGCCTGTCTCTCCTTCCAGACCATGAGCTTTCTGGGCCTCCAGGGTTTAGCACAGGGCCTGGTACAACACAGATGTTTATAAAGGTTTATTGAACTGAATTGAATTGAACTGAATCAAATCGAAAATCAAGTTGAAATAAACTATAATTAAATGTTATTAGGAAACAGTGTGCTGGACACTGGGAAGGAAGAAGAAATGAGGATGCAATTATACCATCTTATTTTGAGAAGTTGATCATGTTGCAAGGGATTACCCTTGACTGGTTCCTCCCAATCTCGGGTCACCTCATGGGACTGGCCCATGGTCACCCAAACAAAATCATGGTTCTCTCAGAATGCTAGAAGGGGTATACCAGTTACCTTTGGACAATACAGATGCTGCTTGGCTTATGATGGGTTTATGTTCTGATAACTTGGTCTAGAAGCCAAACGATGAATCTCTAGTTTTGACCCCATTGCTAGCATGCTGTGAAACCTTGAGAGGGTCACTTAACCTCTCTGGGCCTCAGTTTCCTTACCTACCACATTGGGACAGAAGCCCCTAACCTGCATGCTTTCTAGGACAGGGAGACGGGTAAGTCGGGTAATGAATGCGGAAGTGCTTTGTAAGTGAAAAGCATGATCCCAGCAACATGATTCACTGCAGATATTTATTCCAACAACATGATTCACTGCAGATATTTTGAGAGAGATTGATTAGGGAAGCAGCCAGGAAGGAAAGCTCATCTCGGGCGAACAAAAGAGCCTCGTCTTCCGCTGGGTTGGCCGAGACGAACCTCTGTGCTCCTTCGGGAATACACTGATGGGAAGGAGCTCTGACACTTGCTGCTGGAGAATGTGGGTCACCGACGATTACACGGGGCATTGCACCTGCCTGGCAGGAAGACTCTGGTGAGCTCTGCTCCAGCACCCAGGCTGCCCCTGCCCTCCTGTCCTGGGTCCCCAAAGCCCACGTGCCTGCGGATGCTGTGCGTGAGTCTGAAAACCGAGCACGTGGGAGCACAGTGTGCGCTCTGGGTCTTGTGGGGAGCAGGTGCGAGCAGGCAGCATCGGTCAGCCAAACGAAGGGGTTCTGAGATTCGCTCGGGTGGAGGGGAGGCTGGGTGTGTGTTTGTGGGGAGCTGTGACCCCCTCCCTCCTCTGCTGAGGGCCCCTGGTATCCTCGCCCTCTTCCCCATCAAGTCTGGTATGAGGAGGCCCTGGGCCCCTATGGATCCAGCCCCTCAGGACCCCCGAGCCCTCTCCCAACCCAGCCACCTGGATCTGAGGCCTTCGGGGGGCTGGGCTCCTGATCCCACAGCCGTGGCAAAGCTTGTTTGGGAGGCTTCGGTCTCCGGGTTCTATTTCTGTCCTCCCCAGCGCAGTGACATGAAGGACACCAATCAGATCGCTTTCCTGACTCCGGCCCTCAGGAACGGGAATGAGAGGCTGAACAGACCCAGGCGTGTGTCCCCGAAATAGCTTTGGAAACGGGGGCTCTCTGTTGGAGGGGCATCTGAAGTGGGCTGTCCGTGGACAAGGGGGAAATAGAAGGTTAGTGTGGAGAGCGTAGAAAACCTGTGCAGACAGGGAGACCACTGTAGCAATTGACACAAACTAGTTTTAAGCAAAAAAAGGGGGGGGGGCGCGTTGTTGGCTGTTGTAACTGAAAGTTGAGTAAATTTAGCTTCAGGTACTGGTTGATCCAGAGGCTTAAATGGGTATCATCTGGCCTTACTTTCTCCCCATTTGGCCTCTCTGACTCTGCCCGTTGGAATCCTTCTCGGGTCCCATGTGGTGACTCCCAGGCTCACGTCCTCCTTGTTTGGAGTTGAATGGAAAAGGGGGCACGTCTCACCATTTACTCTGGCACTGGACGTCACTCTGAGGACCAGCTGGGGGCACCTACCCTCTCTAAGCCCATACTCCTGCCTGATTGGCCAGGCTGGGGCCACATGCTGAGCCTTGGAAGCTGGAGATGGGTCCTTCCTGGTCAGATGGCCTGAGAGAGAAGGGGGTCGCTCCCCACAGGAAAATCAGCGTGTTGTCATGGGGGCGTGGAGCACACCGAGTGCACAGTGCAGCCGGGACTCAGACCCGGAGCCCCGAGTATGAGCAGGGGGCCAGCAGCGGGTGGTGGTGAGTAAGGACCTGCTTGGGCCCCTGGCCTGATGCTGGCTTAGCCCCTCCTGGCATTGGGGTTGGAGGGAGAGAGAGCAGCCAGCAGGCTTGCTTCCAGGCTAAGCAGAGAGGCGTCAGCAGGAATGAACCTTGAAACAGGGACGGAAATGAACTTAATTAGACCCATGCAAGCCATTTGTCTCTAGGAAGTGACATTTAGTTTTCCCTGGAAGTCCCCAGATTAAGTGGTTTTGCAAAATGCTCAGGTGGAGGATGGATTTTTCAGTGTGGGGAGAGAAAAACTAAGTCAAGCTAATTATGGAAATTTGTGTTGATGCCATTTAAGTGCCAGGCCCTGGGCTAGGGGTTGTGGGGACCCAGCCCCTCATGTTAAAGAGTTTGGGGCAGGACCAGGGGCATGAGATGAGTCCAGAGGAGGCTACTGCTGAGGGAGAGGCCACTGAGCTGGGGAAGGGGAGATCTTGTCTGGACAGAACAGTAGGGGTAGGCTTCATGGAGGAGGTGGATGCAGTGAGCTTGGAAGGATGGGTTAGGTTTACCGAGGAGTCTGCCCTTGGGGGTAGGGGTGGGGGTGGGGACTGGGCACAGACACCACCTGGACCTACCCAGTCCCACTGTTGGTACAGTTGAGTGTGGAGCTGCCACTTGTGCCTGCATCCTGGAACAGGTTGCTAAGTGTGTTTAAGAGAATTATGCCCCATGTCTCATCATGTCGCAGGGGGCAGGTTCAGGCTCCATCAGTCTCTATATCCATTCTGGGTTGGAAAGGAGCAGGTGGGCGTGGTCAGTGAGAATCTGCTGTCCATGCCTACTTTTGAATCCACATATATGTATATGTATCTGTGTGCACACATGTTTATCTACATGTATACACAAATATTACCAGCCCAAGCATATGCCCTGTCTGTATCAACATGCTTGTAAGCATATGTTCATATGTGTACACACATCTGTGCGCATGTGCAGGTGTGTACAGTTGAGTGCACATCTCTGTCTGAGGTGCTAGTGCCTGTGTCTGGGCGTGTGTGGCTATGACCATGCTCATGCACGTATCTCTGGGGGCCACGAGTCCCTGTCTGCAGACCTGTGGCCACGGGCATGTATATGAACGTGAGCCTGCAGATGCCTGTTGCTGTGTATGCATGTGTGCACACATGTCTTTTGTGCCCCGTGGTCTCTCAGGGCTCATCCGACTGCAGGAGCTCATCATGGCCCCTTCGAGATACAACATCCGCCTGAAGATCCGCCAGCTGCCCCTGGACTCTGACGACTCACGCCCGCTGCTCAAGGAGATGAAGCGCGGCCGGGAATTCCGCATCATCTTCGACTGCAGCCACACCATGGCTGCCCAGATCCTCAAGCAGGTGCGTGAGCGCTGGCCAGGGGATGGCTACCCCCTTCCCCAACACTCCTTCCCCAAATACAGGCGTGATATCAGCCAGATCGCAGTTTGACCCCCGGTCTGCCTCTTGCTGGCTGTATGGGCCTCTCTGAGCTTCTGTGTCACCAGCAGCCAAATGGACGCAGGGGTCTTTATGTCTGACTTGGTGTGAGGATGGACTATGACGATGGATGAGGAGCCACAGGGTTGGCACATGAAGGGTGCGGAGTAAATGCTACTTTCCGGGCCACCTCTGTGCCGGTGGGAGGCCCGGGCTGCAGAGAGGGCCTGAAGCCTTCACCGGACAGAACTCTTCAGGAAGCACCGAGACCT